ATGTGGTCAACTCAGTACTTTGTTTGTATTTAAATATTTCTTTATTCTGTCTGTTTATTAGTTTATTTAGATGTTGCCATTGTGCCTATTACTTTAATTCCCCAATGACTTTCTACATGCACAGTTGTAACAACCGTGAAAATGAGTTTTGAATGCACAAGTGAAATGTATCTGAAATATAAACACCCAATAAAAAAGTGATTTGGGGAAAAAAATGGTTGTAAATTAATTTGCTGTTGATCAGCTAATCAGTTGACTAATCTTTTTAGCTCCAGCTGTGTGATTTGTCCTTGATGGAAGCTTCTGGTGTTGTTAAGCTGATACCTATGCAATGCCCTGGCAACTAGTGAAAAAATTAAATCATTTGTATAGGAGTAAGATCTTCACGTAAATATTCCCATGCCTTGTTTTAAGATCAGTCACGTATTTTGTGACAGTCCTCATCCCCAGAGTGTGTACCACAAGAGTATCACAAGTTCAATTAAAGCCAGTGTTTTCAGTGAAAGTCAAACTAAAATCCCCAAAATTGAAATTTGCCCACCGTGGTGAATTCTAAGATAAGCACGCAGGGATATAAGAAGAGATTGAGCAGTGGAGAAGGGGAAGAAGTGGTGAGTGGTGGGTGTGTGTGTGTGCGTGTGTGTGTGTTTGGGGGGTTGCATCACAGGAAACAAGCTCTCCATCCTGCAGTTGAATGTGACCCTTTGGCCCTGGTTCAAATGTTCCTCGGGCCGAATACCATGAAGCCTCTGTCCTCTGCACCACGCACTGCTCTGCTCTGCACGGACCGTCTAACTGACTGCGGGGTGGGGCTGGGGGGTCCAGAAAGATAGGGTCAGGAGTGGAACAGGGAAAAGTACTGCAGGAGGATGAGGGAAAAAGGGTTACATAGGGGAGAAAGTGGGAGAAGAAGGGACAAGACAACAAAGGGGGAAAGAGATGATACAGGCTCAGCATACAGAACAAACTCAACAAACACACAATTATTGTTTTCAGAAACCACCCAGATGTCTTGTTGCACACTAAAATGTGAAACCAGAGATGCTCACTCGCTTTGGCTGTCGCGCCTCTGCTGCCTGCCCGACTGGCAAGCGTTTGAATCGGGGAGATGTCGCTCCTATTTTTAGCCCCATGCTCGATGGAAGGATGGAACAGCAAACAGACAGTAGCTGCACACGCAAAGACAGAGAGAGAGAAAAAGAGAGAGGCAGTCTGCGTGTGTGTCTGAGAGAGAGAGAGAGAGAGAGAGGCAGTCTGCGTGTGTGTCTGAGAGAGAGAGAGAGAGGCAGTCTGTGTGTGTGTCAGAGAGAGAGAGAGAGAGGTAGGGAGGGTGAAAGGAAGGGAGGAAGGAGGAGTGACTTTGTGAAGTTCTGCAAGTTTGGCTCACCGCTGTGTGAGGAGGACACATGGCTGGACTGGGCACAGGGGAGAGCTGGGCTGCTTTTTCTGCTACAAACTGCAGCTCTTAATCACTCTACATCCTTTTCCCCTCCCACATATTATAAGACAGCTTAAGCTCTCTTTTGCACACTGAAGTGCTACATTAATGCCTCTTTGCCTTCTTGAGGGAGTTGAAGCTAAAGAGGGGGCTTACAGGACGATTGCCCCGCCATGGAATGTTGTAGATTTGCTTACAGGATCGTAGGAAGCTTTTCTTCCCCCTCTCGGGTTCAGAGCTGCGGGTCTGGATCCGAGGAGTGCGTGCGTTTCTTAGAATTCCCTCAGAGACCGGGGACGTCAGACTGGGAGGACTGTGGCTCTGGTTGTGGTTTAAAGGACGAGCAGCCACCTCTGGCTATTTAAACGCGCACGTACAGTTTTTCTGCACCTACACTCATCCAGACGAAGGAATTCAGGATGCGGCGCTTTGACAAGCTGAAAAAGTCATTCCCCTTCCTGGCACACTTTCACGTATACCGAGTAAGTCTGGTATCTGTCCTCCATGGTCCACTGAGGGATTTCATTATTTGGAAATATGGCATGAATAGTTGTAACTATAATCAGGATCATCTGGTCTACCCAGATGTTTGAATATAGTGTTTGCATCATGAATATGGTATGGTAGAGGTCAGTGTGTGTGTGTGTGTATGTGTGTGTGTGTGTGTAAATGTGTGTGTGGACTCCAGCTGGATTGAGGCAGTCCTCTGGGAGGGTTGTTGTTATTGCAGCAGGATGTTGGAGCAGAACAGATCTGATACAGGACATGGCTTAAGCCAGGAGGTGTGTGTGTGTGTGTGTGTGTGCGCATGTGTGTGTGTGCGCATGTGTGTGTGTGTGTGTGTGTTCCTTTCTCCACCACCATGAGGAATGAGTTCAGTCCAGAGGCATTTCTCAGCAGGCATTTGTTTCTCTGCATCTGAATTCGTACATCTCTCTTTCCCCACTCTGTGGCATACTTGTCTCTTTCTTTTTTATTTTGTTCACCGTATTGTCGAGCAGTAAATGTAACCTCTTAATGGTTTATTTGAAACTAAATGCTAGTTGGGTGGTGGTCCTTATTTTGTAACATTCAATGTTCCTTTTAAAAACACACAGATTTTTAAGATTGTGGGGAGTTAGAGATATGACTCAAGATGAGCCCTGAGCATCTTCCTCTTCATCCCATTATAGGAGATGTCAAGAAAAGCACCTGATGTTTTATATACATGTAAGAACAGCTCCTAACTGACTATTACAACATTGCACGACTATTAACAGTGTCAGTTAGAGACGGTCTGTCTTTGTTAGATTCATACACAGACAACCTGAATGTATGATAACTCTTTGCTGTGCAGCACCAGTCTCTAAAAAAATTAAAATATTATATATATGTGCTTGTTTAATGAGTTGTGTATATGAATTAGCAAGTCGAAAAATAAATCTGATATGTCTTAAGCACCTTTATTTTGACCCCTCATGCCTCAGATATGACACTTACATGGAAAAAGGCCCAAGAGGAAGCTGACTTACGTCTTTGGCACCGTCCAGAGAAATAACACTTACATGTTGATCGACAGGGAAGATCAGACTGGGGGCTGCATTGTGGAGGATAAAGGTTATAATGTGCCCCACATATGAGTATGTTGTGCTTTATACATGGAAGCAAAAGAAAAAAAGTAGGTCTGTTTAAATGTTTCCAGGGAAAACGTTTGCTGTAAACTCTTAATAGCGTGAACTGCAGCTTAGCGCAGTAGTGGACTGGCCAAACAGGACGCTGTATCGTCTTTCTCAGGGTAAGGGTCAGGCATGATACAGCAAAATGCAAAACATGAAAATGGATTCAAATGACTGCAGCTGTAGTTAATCCTAAAGCCACAGGCACGGCAGGCATTCAGTATAGCCTGCATCTCTATAAAGTGGATCTCCCATGTTCCTGCTTCACTCTTCAAGCTAACATCAAAGACCGGTCTTGCAGTGTGCTTTTTAACAGAAAAGAAGCTAGGACTATTTTCAGTTGAGCTGTTAAAAGTGGACTCCCTCTGACTTGGAGAGCCAAAGCTGCAAGTTTGGACTTTGCTAAAGAGATATCAGCTGACCCACTTTTATGTGCATCGTGATGAATTGTATCAGGATACGAACATCTGGCATAATCATTGGGGATCGAGCTCTCCCAGCAGATTCGGCTCAGTCAGATCTCACATCAGAAATTTATGGAAAGTACAGGACGACTCACTTATTTGAATCTTTCCATTGAAAAGGCATGGGAGATACATATTATCAGTGTTTTGGGGTTGCTCGCAAATTATTTTCAAAACCCAGTGTTAAATGTGTGTGTTTGAGTGAGACAGTCATTAAGCAATAGGAAATGACCTCTAACCAAGCACATTAAGATGTTTAAATGACAGAGAGGAAGCCGTGACTCCTCTGACACTTTCCTCCGGACCTTGAAACCTTGGCACTGCTTGCACAGGAAGTTCTCATTCACAGAGTCCAATTACTGCAAAGTGGAGTGACCCCTAGCATCCCTCCTACAGATCTCCTATAAATCTCTGCAGATTGGGAATTTTGGTTTGCAGGTTCACTTCCCCATTGAGACTGGAAATAATACTGTGGACCAGTGTGAGCCGGTGTGATGGAAGAGTAGATGACTCTTGTAGTAGTTCATCTTTTCCACTGCCTTTATTCTAAATTTAACTCCATCACTTTGAATAATTGCACCTTGAAGAAGCCCTTCAGCATTAAAGCTGATTTTGTGTTAATTTCAGCTTGTTTATGTTAAGTAGACAGTGATGGATGATGTTTTAAGATGGAGTGTTGTGTTTTGATGTTGAAGATTGATGGCTCAGTGTCTCATTGAGGGATGTAGTATATATATTGTGGTCAGATTGTTTAGGAGTCTCCCGTTTATCTTCTGTAGTGTATAATATATGTGCATTTGACGCATAACAGTTTACACTTCACTTACACTTATGGACACCAGATGTGCTTCAGTCATCTCATGAATCTTCCCAAAATACTTCCATCGTTTTCCAGAGTATTTATTGATCTCTTTCGTTGTCATTTGAATATTTTAAAGAAGATACATTGCAGACTAAGCGGTATAGTGACACCATAATGACACAGGATCTGTATTTTATTTTTTTAATAATTCTTTGGCCCACTGACAAGCAGCTCCTACTATATTTGACCCCTTACTCTTCATGTCTTTGTTATGTATTGTCTATTTGAGGAACCCAGTCTGTTGTGTGCGTGTTTGTGCCCAAATGCGTGTGTGTTTTGACAGTATTCGCATATTTATAATTACCCTTTAGGTATGTGGACCCTGATGTAAATATCTGAACATCTAAGCAGGTATTTTAGTGTTCTGTAAGCAAATACTGGCAAGCACACAATGAATCTGAGCTCAGTTTCCTCTTTTTGTTTTACGGAAATAAATGGTTTGATTGTTGCGCGGTGACTTTCTGGGTGTATTGGGTGTATTTGGCAGGTCTGAGACCTAGCACTGAGAAAAATGTTGAAAGAATACTGAATGTTAAATGTTCTGAACTCAGTTTCCTGTATTCTTTGTGTGTGTTTTGCAGAAGCTGGGCAGTAGCATGCAGTGTGAGGAAGGCACAGAATGGCTGTTGGAGCTGCTAATGGAGGTGCAGCTGCAGCAGTACTTCCTGCGGATCCGAGATGACCTGAATGTCACGCGGCTGTCACACTTCGACTATGTCAAGAACGAAGACCTGGAGAAGATCGGCATGGGTCGACCTGGTGAGAAACTGTGTGTGTGTGTGTGTGTGTGTGTGTGTGCAGTGTTTGTTGTAGAAAAATATTAGAATTTGTTTGCACAGTATGCGTTTTTGAACATGTGTGTCTAGTCTACCAAAAGGCCTAATTCTTGTTCAATTTTGCAGGGATCCTGAATAAAGTCTTGGTACAATAACACTTTGCCCAATATTTAAGTTTATGTCTAAATACCTTCAAAGCGAATGGCATTCCCATCAGCCTTAGTTGTACTTTGTGCTTAGTGTTAATTAGCAAATGGCTTGCTATCACATTAAACTAAGTTGGTGAACATGGTTATCATTATACCTGCTAAGAGCAGCATGTTAGCATTTTCACTGTGAGAGAGTTAGCATGTTGACCAAAGACTGTAGACGTCGCCGTTAGCATTTACTTTAGCTCAAAGCAACACTCTTCATATGTACTCCATTACAGAGTCACAAGTGTGGCTTTAGACCCTTAGTCTTGTTTTGACTTATCATCTTATTTAAGACTGAAAATGAACACCAGACAGATGGTAGTAATCTTTAACGGTGGCTTGGTTGTTTCTTCAAGTCACATAAGGCAGATAAGCAAGCACCTTTAGGTGGTAAAAATCCATTTGGCAGTTCAGAGAGTTAATTTTGGAAGCTGCCAAGCATGCTAGTGTCTAACTGTCTGGCTTGTTTTCACTGTTTGCTCCTATTTCCCCTTCTTCAACAATCATAACTGGGCAGCATGTGTCTCCTCATCTTTTCTTTTCTCTGATTAGATGACAGTTTTTCCCGATTTAGGGGTACTCTGCCTGAAATACATAATTTACTTAATAGTGTCCTTCCAATTTTCTCTTGGCTGATGTATGACTATATAAAGGGGTATTTTACGTATATACAGTATATAGCCTGACATATTATTTTTGTCTGCAGTAATGGCAGTGTGTCATTTGGCTCACTCTCAGCATAGCTGGAGCAAATCCTCCATCACTAACACCCCTAATAGAATTTTAAAGGCAGAACTGGTAATTAGGCATTAGGAAGGGACACTGAAGTGCCAAGTCTTTTGTTTGCGGTGTGTGTGACGGGGAGGGCAGCGGTAATGTTTTAAATCCAGTTATTGAAGCCCTCAGGGCCTTGGCTACCGAGCCGCTTAATGCTAATTACACCCATTTCTCCTGCTCATATATTCATTCACATCTTTCTCCTACACTCACGCTCAGTGTTCTACAGGCTCTCGATCTGTTATCCTGTGTGTGTTTGATGTTTTTTTCATTTCATACTTTGTCTCCAGTCTCTTCTCAGATATAGTATGTATGCATCCTCAATATTTTCGCCCCTTTTCTTCTAATTATGGGAGATAACTTGGAATTCAATGCAGTACGTCTTCTGTATCTCAGATCCTTCCTGGTGCTATGAGAAGAAGCAGCTGCAGTCTTCATCCTTTTGTGTTTACTGCTGAACATCACATTTCTCTTTTTTCCTTTCATTCTTTTGATACAGGACAGAGACGACTGTGGGAGGCTGTGAAGAGGAGGAAAGCCATGTGCAAGCGCAAGTCCTGGATGAGCAAGGTGACAGACATAGACAGACACACACCCACGCTTATTATGGTACATGGTATGCTTGACATTATGTCTCCACAGTGGCGTCAGTCTGTCTGTCTGTCTGTCACAGTGTGGACACATTCATGTGAACATAATAACTTATGAACAATACATGGTAGAAACTTTACACTCAGACCACAGTTTCCACCTGTACAGATGACATGATCACATTTTGCAACACCTTGCTGAATTTGTGTCATATTTTTTTATGTGACAAAGAGTATGCCAACATTGACAGATCTTCGAAAATGCAGCCTTTACTATAGTAATGTCTTAGTTTGATGCTGGGGCCTATTGGACTTACTCAAGGTAAGTCCAATAGGGCTGAGTCCATGCAGTGAAACACATAAATCCACAACAGGAAGAAACTCCAAAAATCCACAGAAGAAAACTCACAGGAGTACAGGACACTCAACATACAATGATGACACTGTAGAGACTGAACAGAACTGACAAACATTTATACTCAGGTAAACGAGCAGGGTGGGAGAGCAAACAGATGACAGGGATCAGAACTAACGAGACAGGCAGGCAGAGAGACAGCAGGGGAGAACAGAGAGACTGGCAGGCAGGCAGATTACTGGGAGAACAGACATAACACACGCAGAGAACAAGAACTAACAATTAACAGACAGGCAGACAGAAACAGCGCACAGAGAACTCAGGACACAATTGTGACAGGTAGTTACATAAAAGGCATGATGGCAAAAATTACTCCAAATCTTCTTAGTGGACAAGGGGCATGTAACGTCTAGTTGCAAGCAATGGATCTATATGTGTCAAACAGTCAAATGAGAACACTCAAAACAAAGGTGCAATTGTGAACCCCCTGATGAGTTTCTGTCTGTTTGGAACATTGTAGTGTTTCTGGGTTTGATCTTAGCACATCTCTGCTCAGTCACATTAAAACTAGTTTCAGTGCCGATCCTGAATGTGACATTAATACATACAAACAATAATAAGCAATGCAGTGCAGACTTAAAACTGTTTTACTAGTGAAATATGCTTAACTGGAAGTTGAGTTTAACTAGCAGCTCTTACCAGTATAACATTTCTTAGCACATTCGTAAACACATTTTAAGAACAATTCAGTATCAGTTCAGTAAATTTTTAAGGCAATGATCACTAATAATGTAGAGCACTGTTTGTGGTGATAGCAGTGCTGAATGCGTAAAACTTTTTAATAACTGAAAATAGGACCTAGACATAAATAAATGATTTGTGCATCTCAGTTCTTTTTATTACCGTTTTGTTCTGGTGCCAGCAGCTGTAACTGAAAGTGTGCATTAGATTATGGAGACGCTAAACGCAACCTGATTGTGTCGTTAATTATTCATGACAATTTGGAAGTTTGAGCTCCAAAAGGCAAAACTAAACAATATTGCATGTTTCAATATTTATGGGTCACCAAGTGAAGTCTCCTCAGCTTTTTGACTTCAAGTAATTCGAGTCTCACTGCAGACAATTCCCAGGTTGAGTTTCAAGACCTCATTTTTGATACTCAAGTCCAAGTCTCAAGTCTACAGCTCTGGTGAATGGTCACATTGTGTTAACATAATGTCAAGGTCTTTTGTGTGACAGAAGCTTACGGTCTTACTGAGCCCGTTTGGGCAATTTATTCTGTTACTGCTACAGACCATACTGTGCTGTATGTGTGTGTCTATGGTGATTATGGAGGAGGTCTCAGTGATTTCTCGATTGGTTCTGTGACATCTTTTTAAAAGAAAAAAAACTTCTGATAGATATACTGTAGGTAGGTACAGATGCATAGACATCTGTAGGGAACATTCCTCAAGAGAACAAGACAGCTTGACCCACACACATGAGGATAAGCACGTCCACATAAAGACACTCACACACAAGTCAAGTCACAAGAGTTGGTGACAGACAGATTCAGAGCATGCTGCATTCATAGAAATGTTGTTTTCATGAAGCAAGGTTTCTTTCTTAAAGCGACAGAAGCACGTATGAATGTGACTTATTCACTTTCTTTAAATAAAGTCTGAAAGATTAAAGATACCTCATACACAAGCTCATTACAAACTCTGATACACCTAGACACACAAGGCTCAGAGCAATGAAGTGTGTGAAGCAGTACTGATCAGTCTCTGTGTGTGTTGGCTGTTGTAAGTGGAAGTCGTGGTGCCCAGAGGATGGTGCTTGCCATCTATAATTACACCTGTCTGTTGCCCCCTCTGGCACCATCCTCAGCTAGAGTAATCTGCCTTCTCAGCCCCCGGTGTGTGTGCGCGCGCACGCACTGCCATAGTCAGAATCTTTTGAATGTCGAGCCTCCTATTTGAAACCCACTTACCACACTGTGACCACAGAGATGTGGTGTTTTTAAAAAGGTCTGCAGCATTATGTCATGTCTGGTCCAGTGTGAATGTGAAACCACACACCGCTTGCTACTGTTTATATCTGGCCAGTCAAATATGTTTGGCACTGGGGATTCATTGACACATCTTTTTCACTGACGATACTGTTTCTGAGTACTGACCTTCAGCCAGTAATGAGCTCACATTGGTTTCATCAACTTTTTTGGAATGAAACAATGCTTAGATTTAAAGATTGCTCTACCTATGAAAAACACATGTGCATGTGGTATGTGACATGTTAATTGGTGTATATTACTTATTTGATATGCAGCACCCGTGTCTGTGCATTTTTATTTTGGGCTTCTAAACAAAGGTTTCTCTTAATGGTTCTACACAGCACACACATTGTACGGGTTCAAATTTAGGGGAATGGAAAGCTCTTAAGGACTCACACAAATACACACATATATATGCACACAGAAACATTCAGGTCACTTAATCTAATAGGGCTTCCTAATGAGTACTTCCTAGCAGCTCACGAACATTCCTGCTGTGTTGTCAGTGCTTAAGCCCAGAGGCAGGACATGTCTCTCCCATAAAGATAAGTGTATGTGTTTGTGTGTGTGTGTGTGCTTGTTTTGGTACATATCCATAGTTGCTTACTGACAGCATATCCATCAGTTTTTGTTGAATACTGTGTGTGTGTGTATGTGTGTGTGTTGGTGGCAGCGAGGCTCCTTATGTCCTCAGATTAGAGCCTAGGGACCACTGTATAATGGTTAGTTGATTCCCCTTTTCTGACTGCTGGATGCTGGCCTTAACTTGACTCTGCTCGCTTAACAATTACGCTCACACCACACAAGTCAGACGTACTGTACATCAAAGTGATTTCCAGTGTAAACCTCCTCTGTCGTCCCACTGTTGCTAACATCACAAAGTGAACAAGACGATGTAAACCTGTTATCACTGCCTGATACTTTCATCTCGTGGTGCAGGCCTGCCACAGTGGGTGAGTGGGTCACTCCTGTGTGTAAGAGGGGAGAGTAGGGGGAGAGCAGACGAGAGAGAAAGAAAATAAAGTGAAAACTAGTTTTCTGTGAGGCTGACAGAGATGGAAAAGAGTGGAGGATGGAGGTCATAACTGAAATGAGTGTCTGGTGTCTTCCCTCCATCTCCACCCACAGTCTCCAGCCAAGTGTCTCCTGAGAGCAAAGGCAGATAGCTCATTTACTAATAAAGGTGTAAGATGAAACTCAAAGCCCTTTGTCAGACTTTTCAACATCCTGGGCAGTTGAAGACACTTTTATATGTTCATCCCAGATTGGGGTTGATACTATTGTTTATAAGCAGTGGTATTCATCTCATTTTTATTGCAGCAAAGATGTTACTTTGGTCTTATCATATCGACATAAATCATCTTTTAGACACTATTTCACCACATATTTCTCCTACACACACACACACCGGACCGAACAGGCAGGGTGTTCTTTCTCTCTATATGTGTCCAGTAGTCCCTTTTTGTTTGCCTTGTTTCATAGCCAGCTTCATTTGTCCTTTTTCTTCATGTGTTCGTCTCTAGGTGTTTAGCGCTAAGCGTCCAGACGGAGGAGACTTCCCCCAGCAGGGCCATCCGGCCTCCTCCTTTCGTAAGCTGTCTCCCACACCTCCTTTGGGCCTGGGGGAGGGAGTCCTGGCCACACAGTCCAGTGGTGATGCTCCTCTTGACGGGCAACAGCAGACCCTGACCTGCCTCATCCCAGAGAAGGATCTGACGCTGTTTGAGAAGCTGGGGGACGGCTCCTTTGGCGTAGTGAAGAGAGGAGAATGGCTGACACCTGCAGGGAAGGTGGTGAGGAGACCCGTACTTACTTTTTAAGAGAACTAAATAAATGTAAACTCCTGTATGTTGAGGATATGTGTTAAAGAAGAAGAACTAGATCACGGCCACACTATGATATTTCTCAAAAATTGTGTGTTTGTTTGCATTTTGTGCTGATGAAGGAATAAATAAAAGCAGCCCCAAGAATCTGTGTACTGAACAGAGTACATTTGCAACTGTTATATTTGAAATCTTTGTCCTTGTTTCCAGCTGAATGTAGCTGTGAAGTGTCTGAAGACAGATGTGCTCAGCCAGCCCGATGCTCTGGAGGACTTCATCTGTGAGGTCAACGCCATGCACTCCCTGGACCACCAGAACCTCATTCGCCTCTACGGTGTGGTGCTCACACACCCAATGAAGATGGTAGTGGATACACAGAAACGCACACACACAGGGAGGACAGATAAACACATATATATGCCCAGGTGTACATTAGTCACTGATATACTCTAGCTTTCTCTTGACTTCCCTGTACTCTCACATACACCCACACATACTTCAGCAAACACAAACGTCGCTCTCGTGCACTCTCTCAGGTTGCTTTGTGACCTTTTGAAATCAGGGCAAGCATCTCAAGGCCTTTGTCATGACTGGAGAAAGCGATGGAGTAAAAAAGGGAGACAGGAAGGGAGGGGAGAAAGTGGATGGAGGACTAAAATAAGGGCTGACATTTCACATTTGTTACCCTCTAGTTATTTCCTCTGGCATGTTTTTCATTCATATTGCCAAATGGTTTTTGGAACATGGATTACCAATTACCAAAATTTCTTCTGTTTTTCTCATTATATTCTCCTTTTTCTTCTATATATTTCTTCCTCATATTCTCACTTTGCACTTCACACCTCTCTTTCTCATCTACATCATCTATTCCTTTTTGCTCCCACGTTCCCCTTTTCACCCCCTCCTCTCTGTGTGTTCTGAAGGTGACTGAGCTGGCTCCTCTGGGTTCTCTGCTGGAGCGTCTGCGATGTGTCCGTCCACAGGGCCCAGTGTTGATCCACACCCTGTGTCAGTATGCTGTGCAGGTGGCCTGTGGCATGGCCTATCTGGAGCAGAGGCGGTTCATCCACAGGGACCTGGCAGCCAGGTACGAGAACAGAGAACTTTCTGAGGTGGACTTAATAAGTTTTAGCCACTATAAAAAGGCCAGTACCTATTTTTTTAAAGAGGGTGTAGTCTTCACATTCTCTGTCTTGAATTATTTATATTGCTTCTCCTTCTTCTCCACCCAGACATTTACAGACCATTATAGGGAGACTTGGCCCATTAGCACATTGAGTAACTGGTTGGCTGGCTGTACTGGGTGGTCTAAGTTCTTAGTCTTGGTCAAATTCGTCACTTTCACTTAACTGTTGACACAATGTAGATGCTTGAGAAAATTGTAATGGCTTGTAAAAATGAGTCATTTTCCCAGTTAAAACTGTGATAAAATGCTAATGACTACACATGGCTGTTACAGTATCCAAACACTAAGCAAATTTTACAAGCTGTGGTTTTAAATGCTGGATCTGTTGAATTTAATGTTATGTTGATTTTCTAACCTATCAGTCTGTTCCTTCAGTTAAAGGCTGAAGTAGGTTCTGGATGCATTCAGAATAGGACACTGCTGACACCATGCAAAGTCTACTGTAGTTGTATGGCACATGGACTATATTTCATATAATTTACGCATCAATTCTGTGTGTTGCTGAAGATTGACTATTACAACTACCCCTGTTTTTGGTTGATCTAGTAAGATGCACCTCTTAAATCCGGTTTAGTTTATCTTCTGTTAGGGTTACATATATTATTTTATATCATATTTTAGGTCAAATTCCTTCTTTCTCCTCTCAACAAATTGTCAAGCGAAAAAAATAAAAAAATAAAAACCATTACAGATTCATTCTTCCTCATCTTTGCTTCTGTATGTGGAGAGTTTTGTGAACATCTGTGAATTTATGAGTGTGTTTATGGCATCAGTAGTATGCTGCCTAAGCGGAACTTTAAACTAGAGTTAAAATCAAATTCCAATAATTTTAAATTATAGTTATAAGATTATATGATGATAACAGATGCAACACAATTCCCCAAAGAACTATTTTGCACTGCATTGTTTAGATTAAAAATGTACAGAAAGATGTTAATTATGTGACCATCTTGTCTGTAGGAACATCCTGCTGGCCTCAGCTCACAGAGTGAAGATCGGTGACTTTGGCCTGATGAGAGCACTGCCTAACAACCATGAGCACTATGTCATGCAGGAGCATCGAAAGGTCCCCTTTGCATGGTGGGTGTCAGTACAGGGATGGATACGAGCGGTTTTAAGGGTTAGGATGGGAACCTGATTTATTTTTTTGCAGAAAGTTTCCAGAGAGATCTGATCGGTCACAGCTACATTCCAGCCATGCTGATAATTCTTATAAAACACTGCTTTCTGTGTTTTTTGGAGTTTCTTTGCCAAAGTCTGTCAGCCAAGCAGCTAGCTATCAATCTATATTTCTTTCTACTGTTAAGATTATTTACAATACATTCTCTGCCCAAAGTAAGCATTATCGTTGGACAGACCTGCAGATAACTGATTTAATGTAGCCCATTTTAAATTTGTTACCTGTGCTGCTGCAGGTGCGCCCCAGAGAGTCTGAAGACCAGAACGTTCTCCCATGCCACAGACACATGGATGTTTGGAGTCACTCTCTGGGAGATGTTCACACATGGCCAGGAGCCTTGGCTGGGCCTTAATGGGAGCCAGGTAAACACACACAGAAAAACATATACAGTATGTAACCAAAAACTCAGGCAGACCCACAAAACTAGTCACATTTATTCACATCTAATCTGATTTTTCTCCTTTCTGGGAAAAAATCCTAGATCCTACACAAGATTGACAAAGAAGGTGAACGCCTCTCTAAGCCTGAAGACTGCCCGCAGGACATCTATAACGTCATGCTGCAGTGTTGGGCTCAGAAATCAGAGGACAGACCTACCTTTGTTGCACTGCGGGAGTTCCTCCTTGAGGTAGGGGAGCCTGCAGCAATTTGGGTAGCCAAAGGTGTATATCCAGGCTGCTATATGTGAGGGTTTTTTTAAGGATACTGTGTAATCCTAAGCTCTCCATTTCCACTAAGCAGAAGAAACTTAATGATGATCTTAATATATCTGGTACAGATAGACAAGTGTTCCCTCACCAATTCATCATTGCGTAAGTGGACCTTTAGCTCCACCTAGTGGAGTTACTGCATAGCAGAAACAGAAAAATGCTGTCAGCTGGAATAACTATTTTAACCACCTTACAATATGGCCCACTCACAAGTATTCTTATGTGTGTGGGTTTTTCAGACCATGCCCACAGACATGTGTGCTCTGCAGGACTTTGACGAGCCTGACAAACTCCTGATCCAAGTCAATGATGTCATCACCATCATAGAGGGGAGGTGGGTATTAATAAGCATTTTAGACTTTGAACAAGGCTGCCCCCACATCTGTATCATTTACTGAGCAAACCTACCTGCCAGCCTAATTTCTGATAGTGTTTAAAGGGAAAATAGCCTACAGGTATTTTCCAGTTTAGATATTTTGACTTAAGTAGCTCATCAGTGCTTAATAATAAAAAGATATAGAATTTCTATTAAACTAAATGCACTACATTGTTAATATTAAGTTGTTAAATGTCCAGTAGAATTATTTGGTGTTGTAAGGCCCTGTAGATGATTCTCCTTATCCGCAACTGTGGTTCGTCCTGTTTCATCCTCAGCATTTTGATGTCTTTCAGGGCAGAGAACTACTGGTGGCGAGGTCAAAACAAGCGGACCCTTAAGGTCGGACAGTTCCCCAGAAACGTGGTGACATCAGTAGCGGGTTTGTCAGCACATGACATCAGTCGGCCACTCAAGAACAGCTTCATCCATACGGGACACGGAGACACCAACCCTCATCAATGCTGGGGCTTCCCGGACAGGATTGACGAGTAAGGACCAACTTCTGTTGATTAACTTAAATGTGGATTCAGTAAGGTCTAACTGTGTCTTCATCACTTTATATACAGTATGTGTTATAATTATGCCCCATGTTAGAAGTTGGTGTTAAAAATCTGTCCGATTAGTTTTTACTGAGTTGTAATAATACACTCTCACCAATAGATGGCAGTAGCACAATGTTATCAACAGTATAAAACCCTGCTCAGTTACATTCAGTATATTGACATTTACTGTAATTAGGTCTGCCGCTCTCTTACCCCCAGCTTGTACCTCGGTAATCCTATGGATCCTCCTGATGTCCTTGGTTTACACCTCAGTGGTGCTCGGCCCACACAGCTACCAGGACGAGCTAACAGTGAGTAAAAGAGCTCTAAATAAAACTTAAAGCCATAACGGTGGTGAATACCAAGAATAAACACAGTCTTGTAAGTCTGTTCAGTATCCACCATCTTTGGGTTCACACTCTTTAGGTGGCACCACTGACCCAGACCCGTTTAGCATTTAGCTTATGAGCTAAAAGTCACTGCTGGAAGGGTTGGTCTCAGTTTAAAGGCCCATTGTGAAATGTTTTGGTCCTATATGACGGATGTCTAAAAAGATTCTCAGTTATCCAGGTCATAATTATCTAAGGAAGGTTAAATCAAGGGTAACAGGACTTGGTTATCTTCAACCAAGTCCAGTTGCTCTTGATTTAACCATCTTTAGATCATATATGTCATTTAAAGATACACATTCACATTCTGCTAGATAAACATTTATAACATTTGTATTTCTCAACTGATCATTATTTAAAATGTACAGCTGTTTCACTCTGTAACTATAAACATAACTGTCAACAATAATCAATTGTTAAATGATCAGATTTCCTGTTCTTCGCAGTGCTTTGGAAAAATGGCTACCAAACAGCTTTTCATTTTTTTTAACACTTGGCTGGCAATCTTTCACATTCAATCTGACATTTGCTTGCTGCTTTTTATTTTCTAATCTTTCTTTCTTTGCTGCTGTCTTTCCCCCCCCTATACTTTGTGGTGGCGGTATTTGCTTTTATTCTTCCAGAGGAGCCTCCTCCCCGTCCTCCTCAACCAGCAGTGCTAATCAAGAGTAAGTCTGGTTTCCCTCAGCAGCTCCTCACCCATTGCTCCTGCCCTCTCTGTTCCCTTCTAGCTCCACTCCTCAAAGGTACATCCCATATTAGTTTTTCTCTCCTTTGTCTACTTTTGCAGTGATTATGTCTTCTACTTTTATTTCCTTTAACATCACTGTTTCTCCGTCTTTCCATCCTCGTGTCCCTCTAACAGGTGTGCAGTGTCCTTGCTGTGCACTATAGGACTAACTTCAGACCTGGAGATTTAATTTGACTGAACTGTGTCTTGTATATTGAGGTGTGAAGATCTTAACGAGCATGGGGGTCATCACTCTCTAAATTTTTTGATGGAACTTCAACACGCTTTGGCAGCCACAGTTTTCACAGTAGGAGGCGGAAATTTGTCATAGAGGTCAAGTGTGTTTGTGTGTGTTTGTGTTCATGCCGACTGGCTAAAAGTGGCCCTGGGAATGGGAGTGGCCTATTGCAAACAAAGCTACACCCACTGTATAGCAACCACAACTTTCTATCAATGAGGCTGAAATTTGCCATGGAGGTCATGTGTTTGTGAGGTTGTGTGTGTGTGTGTGTGTGTGAATGCATTAACACAGAATACATGTACGTGGTCACAGGTATTGCAAATTCAAGCTTGTTTTCAGTAAAGTAATGAATGTATTGTGTGTTTGTGTCTCCAGAGCCTTGCTATGATCCAGTAAACGATGATGAGGATCTGACTTCGGCAGGACTAAAGAGGTTATCACTTCGTAAAACAGGTTCTGTCAAAGGCTTAAAACTTAAACCCGCTGCGTGGGTCTCTGCTTCCAAGCAGGGGAGTGGCCGGATTTCAGGCTCAGGCCACATCCTCAACAGTGAAGTGTCCCTCATTGACTTTGGGGAGGAGTTCCCCCCGCCTGCACCCTCTCCCTCCCCTGTGGTCGAAATTCAGATTCCTTCACTGGCAAAGCTAGCTTTGCAAGCAGAGAACATCCTGGACCGGACTCCACCTCAGAGTCCATCTAGATCATTGCCCCGTCCCCTTCACCCTACGCCAGTAGTGGACTGGGATGCTCGGCCATTACCTCCACCCCCGGCCTATGATGATGTAGCCCAAGATGAAGACGATATGGAGGTACGGTAGGAGGTGTTACAGCACATTTCACATTGTGTCAAAATGTCACGGAAATGGAATGTTTACCTCCAGTCCTGGTATTACCTAGATCCATAGCAGAATGTATTGAAGATGTAAATCTTGTTTTTCCATACAGGTGAGCTCCATCAACAGCTCGGAGCAGCAGCATGAAGAGGAACAGAGTGACGTCTGTAACCCAGATGAGGCTCTCTCCTCTGGACAGAAAGTGGAGGGTGAGACTTTTGTCTCCAGGGGTCCAGACAGACCAGACCTGGACGACAACCTCTTTCTTCCTGGCAAGCAGAGCCAGGTGCTGTCCACTTCCTTCTCCCAGTCAGCAGAGATCTTCCAAGAACTCCAGCAAGAGTGCATGAGAAGGCTCAATGTACCGACTAGAAGTGCTACGCGGTCAAGCTCGCCATACCAGAGCTCAGCCTCGTGTCCCCAGACTCCACAGACCCAGGAGGGACATCAGCAGAGTGTCCTCTGCTCCAGTGAGGACAAACCCCAGATCCCTCCACGTGTCCCCATACCTCCTCGCCCTATAAAAAGGGGCGACTACACATCTGCTCGCTGGTCAAGGGATCTCTCCCTGTCACCGACGCCAGCTGACACCACAGAGGACGTTTCTGGGCCAGACCAGGACCGGCCACCTCAGATCCCTCCCAGGGACCCTTTGTCCCAGCCGGGCTCCCGGACTCCCAGCCCCATGGGCCTGGTAGTGGGCTCCCCTCAGCAGAGAGTCTACTCTGTCAGTCCCACCACCATGCAAGCTCCCCTCTCCTCTTGCCCCTCCACACACACCTACGGCTCCTACCTCTCCACCTCTCCAGGTAAACTCATGCCTACCACACACAGCTTTGCCTCAGATCCTAAATATGCTGCACCCAAAGTGATCCAGGCCCAGGCACAGGGGAAGGACACTGCCAGCAAGGGCCCCTGTATCCTCCCCATCGTCCGTGATGGACGTAAAGTCAGTAACACCCACTATTACCTTCTACCAGAGAGGCCCCCATACCTCGACCGCTACGACCGTTTCTTCAGGGAGGCAGAGAACCTCCCTGCCAGCGGTGTGGAGGAAAGACATGTACGGCAAGCTAACACTGCCACTGTCAGACCCATGGTGGTCAGCAGCCAGACACTCCAGGGACACGCCCAGGGACAGGGGCTTGTCCAGCCAGGCGAACTGAAGGCTAATTTCTCCACCAACAATAACAGCAGTCTGGGTGGACCACGGTCAGGGATGAAGACATCAGTTAGTCTCCCTCGTGTCTGTTCAGAAGGGCTTGCAGCACTGGTGGTCAATGCTTCCTGCACCAGGACAGACGGAGGAGGAAACTCAGCTGAAAGGGTGAAAATGGTACGGTCAGAGATATTTGGACTGCCTTTTGCAACTTCTCATTTGAAATACACTGTATAATTTTACTATTTAAATCATATGAAAGGTTTTATTTATTGCTATGATAAACTGGAAAGCCTGCTCACTGTCTCTCTCATTATGGATGTCACTGCAGGGGGATAATTTACCTGCAATATATAGTTGACCTCATGTCCTCCTTAATTCTACTTTGATTGCTTTTTCGTAAATCAGATAAAAAAGTGCAGTCCTTAAACTAGATAGCCATCCCTTCTTAGTTTCTTATCACTAGTATGAGAGCATAATTATGGTTCTATTATTATGAGATGAAGTCATTATCACACATCTATGAGCTGAAATATGAGTACAATGTTCAGGGTAATCCAGTAGGATTGGTCTTAGAAGTAATAAGACTTTAAATGATGTGATGTAATAGAGTGCAGTGCAGTTTTATAACAGTTAATGTAGCTTTTGAGTGAAACATTATGGTGTATAGCGTATTACATTTGCTCATACACTGAACACAAGGGGGCAACAGAAGACCATTTTTAGTAGCCGCTTTTAACTGCTTAAATCTGTTATAATTGAATAGATTACCTCCCTATTTAAATCATTATCAGAACCAAATTATGATTGATGTGTAACAAAAGCAAAATAACCTTTTTAAACTGGAGCTGAACTTGTGAAAGTCAATGAGTCAGGCTAATTAAAAGGGGAAGTTCCATTTTCTCCGTTCCCTTCACAATGAAAAAAGCACTAAAATGTTCTTGAAAATGAAAACTTCTCATAACTTATTTAAAAATATGCCAGCATTCTTTTGAGACAAAGGCCTTATTAATTGTTGCTGTGAATTGACAAGACAAGAAACCGTAATTTCATTGGTTTGTTCTTGCTGGCCAATTGATTCTGACACTGACTGAACTGGAGTTAGAATCACCAAAGGCTCTACATCGATCAGGCACTTGGCATTTTGTAATGCATACTGAGATCTGTGGCCGCACATGAGGTGCAGTGAGAATGTGGGATCGTATATAAACTGTATTGCAGAGGAGTGCATTGCAAGAAGTAGACATCCACATTTACTTCCTGTTGTAGTTGAAACAGTACAGTAGCATAAATAAATAAAATCAATCACTATGCCGCCAGGAGCACACTGTCTGCATTGTTGAAATTAGACGTGGTGGATTCGGAGAAACATAATTAGTAGAGCTCAGACTACTATATAATATACAATTTGGTTAGTGAAGTGATAGTGAACTGTGCAAAAAGCTTCATCAAATCCATTGATGCTTGAATCCACGCAAAAAAAACTTGGATAAGTGCAAAAAAATATTTTCTATTAGAAGAATATTACATGAGGGATTAATGCTAAATTGATACAGATGATTTAAAATCTTTAAAAAGGACCCAGTCGTGTACAGGTGTTTCTGAGGTAGGTCAATGTAATGTAAATGTAATAGTGAGGCCCATCAAGTGAGGAATCAGAGCCAGGGGAATATAAGGGTTGTTGGAAGCTGCAGAGACTTACACTGTTGTGTGATTCAGGTGCAGGAGGCAGTTCACGGTGTTACAATAGAGGAGTGCCAAGCTGCCCTTCAGAACCACAACTGGAATGTCCAGAAAGCTGTGCATTATCTAAAGGTGAGAGCATTTCTTAGTATGCTGTGAAAATGCTTAATGCACAGCAGCCAGTTTTTGAAAACCAAATTATATACCATACCATACTATATCTGTAGTTCATATTGTGTTTCTATAGGGATAGACTCAACGCGAAAGTATAAATTGGCCTCAACATAAGAAGAACAATCCAGACAATTAGCTTAAATGAAAACACTGGTTTCTATAAAACACTGAGCTCAGCCTTTTCAGTATTTCATACTGCTGTGGCAGCACTGTAAGTATTTTAGATGGCAAGCTAATGTTAACAAAGTGAGCTAGCTCATATCTTGAAAACATTATCTTCAAATACATGTCTTTTGTCTTCATCAAGGACTACAATTGATGGAAGACTTGAACTTTACTGTTTCATCCTTCACATTTGTAGATGTGTGCGATTTAATGTTTCCTTTCTCATAATGTCAAAAAAAAATTCTAAAAACTAAATTAAGTTTCAATTAATTTTATTCAGTCTCACACTGTTAAAAAAAAGTAAGCTGTATCACTGAAAGGCAAACTGAATTGGTGAAATAAAACCCTATACCAAGTAAGGTCAACAAAAATTTTATGGTTCTAGTCCATCAAAATAAAGACCCTATGAAGTGTAAGACTATGTTGGAGCACAGCAATTACCAAATTAATCAGTGCTGAACACTGCTATGCTGCAAAAGAGTCCTTGAGTCCTTTTCTGTAATAACCCATTTTGTAGAGGATATAAGTACAAACAGGCATTCAAAGTTGCTGAATGTAGTTTTACTTTATAGGTTCATATCAGGATATGATAAGAGCAACTTTGTTGAACCTTTAGGGAAAGTCAGATCATTGCTGCTGCAATGAGCCGGCTATAAATAAAAAGGCATGCAGACACTGATGTGTCTACAGCAGTAATCAACAATCTCTCAGCTGCCTGTGGTTGGGGCCACTGTGGCAGGATAGAAGGTGTGTTTGGGCACAAGGGAACACTTGAGTGCTGCTTAATAGTGGCAGCAACGTTTAGAAGATAAATAAAACAGACTGTGTTGACCCTTTTCTGCAGTTCTTTCCTGTACAGTACCTGACCCTGTGAGCCAGCTATACTGTCTCATCTTATCCCTTCTCCTGGCCGCTTTGTACAATTGCTCTCATCTTTTTTTTATTGTCTGTCTCTCTGCAGGTTGAGCAGTTGTTCTGTTTGGGTCTGAGGAACAGGTCAGAGTGTCTAAAGCTGCTGGAGATGTGTGACTGGAACTTAGAGGTGGCCAGCACACAGATGTTAGACAACTATGGATCCACAACAAGACCGAGGTACTGTACTGTATTCTATAGCTTTGTTTATTCAACTTTGGGTCATGACCTTTTAATGTACTGTACTCTCATCACTGGCCAGCAATGACCATCCATTTGACTTATTTAATACTTTAGCTATCACTTCAGATAGCACCCAGAGCCTCTAATCTACATTTAAAACTTGGTTTGGATATTTATTTTATATTTTTATTGGCATTCAGTATCACTGCGTATGCACATGACACATTAAAGTCCGTCACATATCTCCCGAAATAGTACCCCTCAGAAGAACACATACATAAAAAATTAAAATAGTGATAATAATTTTAAAAAACTATGGACAATTAGGGAGTGATCTTTGTCCACAATACAATCATTGATTTGTGAAAATAAAATCAGATCTATGGGGCGTTACATGCTTTGGTTTGGATATTTAATCTTGCGTCTGTGGCATTTTATCCATCGTTTTGACAGTAATGTTCATGTTTGGATATTGTTTCCGGAAATTAAATTCAGTTACTTATGACCTCGCTTCACATGCTGAGATGAGATCAGTTTAGGCACATCCATCTTTGGAATACATACCATTAAAATTGGCTTCTTAGCCGGGCTTAACTGCTGGAGATATTCCCTCCTCCATATGTCACTGCAAGTTAACTGAAAACGTCAACGGCAGACATATACAGAAAGGAGACAGGCAGCAGCATGACGCAATGAGAATGCTGGTGTGCTCTGTTAATGAGGCTAAGAATCATATTTGGCTGCTAGACTGAGAAAGTTTTCTTTTCTATAGAAAATATTAGGGAAATGTTTTTAAAATTTTGAACAATTTAATGTGTCACTTCAAAAGCATCACAAGTGGAAGGTCTCTCTTGCAAGACAATGTAAATATCATTCAAGTTAATTTAGGAGGATTTTGCATTTCATCGTTATTTTCTCAATCTAATCTAAAGCTTCTTTATATTTTTAGACGGTGACAGAAATTTCAAGCTGCTGAGCTATGACTGGAACTTCATCTTCAGTAAAACATCAGAGGAGGAGGTGAATTTGCTCCTGACCCTTCCTGTTTATGCTTCAGACACACAGAAGACTGTAATTTGACTGTGGAAGAATCCAGCACATTTTCAGTGAACTAGCACAATATACCAAACTTTACAATGGCTCCATTCATGCATAACATGGACAAAAATATTTAGCCTGGGGCAAATATAATGTTTTGGGTCACTTTTTGACTTTGATCAGAAAGATATGTGATTGTTGCACTTATTAGAGAATTGCAGACCGCCATCTTCCATCTTTTTAAAGTTATTGAAAGACAAAGACAGTGCTACCACACTGCCTCACTGCTGCACTTACACTGTTGACCAACTGCAGAGAGATACTTCAATCTTTTCTTTCATTTACGGCATGAGCACTTCCTAAAAAGATCCATACTTTACCATGAGGTCATTATATTTTGTCAGAATATGCCAGGAATGAGCACAGTCTGACTAAAAACTGGAATCTCATTTAGTGAACAGTGTCAAAAACAGTGTCATATTGTAAATCTACCATGTAAAAGCACAACACAATACAAAGCTAGTATTTAATTGGCTCTCCAGGCCACACTGTGCAGGAAATCATTTGGCCCGTTTACAGTTATAAAGAGGGGTGGGGATGTGATTATGAAGATTGTTTGCTGCTGAAAGTCGAGGAAAAATATGCAAGAAAAAATGCTGTTGCAAAAGAAACATTTAGGTTTCTCTACAATAACAAAATGCTTACATCCTCAATAATCTGTATTTGGCGCGGGACATTTATCAACATTGACCCCATGCTGTGCTCTTTGTGCTAAGAGTCAAAGGTCAAACCGGTAAAATATTGACCTCAATTTAGAGAATTAACAGAAATAAATCAGATTAGCAGTTTGTCCAAGATTCACTTATTTTTTTCAAAACTGTCTAATTTATATTCAGAGGGTGTAAGCCGTAAACCCATTATAAAGAGACATTTATGTATTTGTGAACTAAATATTGATATTTTAATATATTTTCAACACAAAGTTCAGAAACAAGAGAAAACTGTTATGTCCATTCCTGGGCAGGCCATTATATATTTACAAATGTGTCACTCATTAAGTTAAATAGTGTAGCACCTATTGCCACGTCTGGCAGTAGAAACGTCCTACACCCCAGACATAGTCTTTCCTTATTCCTTCCCTCTAAGCACTTTGCCCATACAGAACTCCCATGCATCAGCTGAAAACTCTTGCCAGCTTGGTATTTTCTGCGTGCACACAGACTACATTGGCAGCTAATATCAGCAACGTAGGGACATTTGTCCCAAGGCACAGATCCTGTCCCTTAATCATCACTTAACCACAACTGTGATATTTTGGTCAGCAGCTTTAGGGGCAATAATTTAAATCTCGGCAGACGTCTTAGCTCTGGGTGAACTCACTGCTGGACGTGACAATACATCTTCTGACTAGGTATCATCATAGCAGAGCCCTCAGTAGTGAATGGCTCTCAGGCTTTTGTTCTCCCGTTTTATTCAAGATGCACTTAGTTTGTGAGGACTCTTCTAAAAGGAATAGTAATAAAAGGCATTCCACCGGCTTTGACATCTAAAATTGACTTTTATGTGGTCAACCGAAAGTGAAAAAAAAACAATACTCTACAGGCAATTTAAAGCTTCTTTCTTTAGTAAAAAATAATTTATTTAAATTACAACACAAGTCCACATGTAAACTCTGGCTTTGCTCCAAACCAACCAGACCCTCCATATATTCACTAAAACCCTAGAATCTGACTGGGCTAAGCACAAGCCGTTTGGGCAGATTTATATGACAACCTCCAGTAAAAGTTCTCTCCTGTGTGCAATAAGCACATGAAACCACCCAGTCTGTCCATCCATGAGTGCCATCCAGTTGTGTGAAAAGATCTCTGTCATGATGGATCCTAAGTGAACTCACAGGAAACACCGTCTTCAGTATGAAGTGTTTGGTGACTTAGTTTTCCTTTGCAGAGTAGGATGAAGTTCTGTTTAAACAATGATCCAGAGTCAATTTTGCCATGTCCCCCTCTGGTGTGCTATGATAAAGCTGATTGTTAACCAGTGCATGAAGACAACTTGATGTGAGAGCCGCCTCCACAGTCTGTTCATGTGTTGTTTGTCTTTATACCAAGCTGCTGTAGTTGTATTGAAGGACTGAAGTGAACCTTGTGGTGTTATGATCAACCCAAAGCTCCTGTTGTGGTGTTGAGACTCTGATGTTCAGTTCTGTTTAGTCTTTGTTCGCCAGATCTATTTCTTTAGAAACTGTCTGTGATTTTAAGTCATTTATATTGTCTTTGCTGTTTTTCCTTCAGTCCAACTTGCCATTTCTTCCTCATTTGTATGTATGTGCTTCCCAGAATGTGTTTTATTTTAAATGCCTACTGTACAGTTGGTTTTCATTGTTTCTCTCCTCCAGGGTTGATGGAAATGTTAAAGAGAAGTTCATGCTGCCGAATTTATAAATGTATTTTTTATTAAAGAATGAATTATTTTCTACCTCTTTTGTTTATTCATCTTTTTTTCAGTCGCCTTACTTATTTTTGTTATTTTTTAAGTATTGAGTGCTGAAGGGGAGACATGCTGGATGCTGATTTTGTTCCACACAACACTCAGATGCATAAGAGGTATTGATGTACGATGAAACAAATACCATACTAATTAGCCTTACAGTATTTTAATGGACACTTGTGTCCTAAATGTTTGAGCCCTTTTAGTATTAATTAACAAGAACCACAGAAAGCCTCTGGAACATACGCAACAACTGCGTTTAAAGGGTACTCATCTGGTTTTGTGACTTACACTTCTGATCAAATGTCTAAAGTTTAAAGTGCTGAAACAATTTGTCAATTAATTGGTTGACAACCATTTTGATAAAAGATTAATTTGTTTATTGATTTGACTCATTTGTCATGCAACCAGAGTCTATACCCTTGTTCTTAAGCTGAGCATCGCTTTGAGTTAAAAGCGAACCTGCTGATGTGTAGCAAGTAGAGTATAATGCTTACCATGTTCATCATTTATGTCCCTTTTGTACTGTACAAGACATCCACTAAAGGCTCCTGCAGACTACACGACTTTCAGCGTCAGCACATCGGCGTGCTGTTCAGACTACACAACTTGCCGTCTTGTGACGGTAGTCTTGAAGTCGTTGTGGCGTTCAGACTACATGACTGATCGGTGACACACTACAAGAGCTGACAGCGTCGTCAGAAATGTGTCGGGAGCTGTTTTGATGCGTCGTTGAGTAGTTCACACATTACAACTGGCGACCGCCGATCAACCGCTGATTTCTATAAATGTTTCATCCATATGTTTAGTTTAGCATGCAAGGCTAACAGCCCATCAGCTGTGTGACTATATGTTTCGCTGTGACGTCTTTCAGAGCACAAAAAACACCGTAAACCTGCATGTCACCTGCAAAGGACGGTGCTGTTAACCACAATAACAGAGGCTATACCTTATTTATTACAGTGTATAGGCTACACACAGCAACCATGGTAATATTGTCACTGGCCTCCATGCTGCTTTCTGCTGCTATCCCTGTTTTTGACATCACAAATTCGAGACATCAGAAAAAAAAATTGGCAAATTTGTCTACTGGTAATGAAAGGCAATCACCTATTTTAAGCAGGTTTATCTGTGTCAAAAAAACCTGCAACAGGCTAATTTTGATATAAAAAGGGTAATGTTTAGTATGTTAGCATGCAAATATTTGAAATGGAACACCATTAGTTTTACAGGAATTTGGTTGTAAACAAACGTATTGGACAAGTTAATATTTTGAGCAAATGTTGCTGATGTTAGATAAAAAAGTCAAATGAACACCAAAGGCATTAGGATTCATCCACTGGGGACCACGAATGGCAATTAATCTGATTTGTTGAGATATTTCACTATGGACCTAAGTGCTGGATTGACTGTCCAACATGATATCCCTTTCCACCAGTGTGGCTAAAAATCACAACATTTGTTTGTCTCTCAAACAATATTTATTCTCAAACAAAATAATATTTTTTGGATTTGAACTGCTATGCAGACAAACCATGCAATCTGAAGACATCGCCTTGAACTCTGGGAACTTTTATAGAATAAACGATAAATAATTTAAACAAAAATGATTTTAACAAGGTTGAAGGTTTGAAGGTTTAAACAATAATGAAAATCATTGTTAATGGCAACCCTAAATGTGGCAAATAACCAGCTGTTCGCTGCTGTGCACAGTAACTGTACCTGGCTGGCCCTCATGGCCTTAGTGTGTGATGTGACGGATCGATCTGAATAAATTAGTCTGTGTTGGTGGTCATTGACATTCCGAAAACACAAGACCAAGCCCAGACCTTGCACGTGTCGACTGGATTGATCCACACAAACACATATCAATTGAGCTCATATTATATATTCCAACTGCAACACCAAGCACTTTATGGTTCATAGTTCACAAATTGATACCGATGTATTGGGACCTAAATGAGCACATCATAGACTATTTTATTTATTGATGATATAGCTGGAAAAATGTCTTTGGGTTAATAAAACAAAACTTTATGACAGAATAAAATTGGACAATGTGGCCAATCGGAAAACAGCTCGCTGGAAACTTGGCAAACCTTTAGTCACACAAACACACATTATCTCCAACACCACTGACCATCTTTGTTTTCTATACAAACACATCATGCTTTCTGTTGGACCTGAGAAACTTCTGCTTACCAATGAGAGACCCAGTAGACCCTCCATTCATCTCAGTGGTGTTTGTGTATACAGTATCATTACTCAGTCCCTTGGCAAATTATTAATATCCAGTTGTTTTGAGCACCAGAGCAGTGGGCTCAAAACAAGAGAAATTATTGTGGTTTTCACCAAACAGAAGAGGATAAATAAAGAGGGAAGAGAGAGATAGCACAAGGAGGAGGAGAGCTGCCAAGAAAGTGCAGAGAAGCAGATAAGAGAGTACCTTGTGCCACCTGGAAAAGAAATCCTCCAGTATATATATGTGTCTACAGTTTGCTTTATAGAATGTGATTTCAATATCTCTCTTTGGCCTTTTTTCTATTTATCTTTTTTTTTTCCTAAGGAAAGTATATTTTTCCCCAAGACTGTCTGTTTGCTTCCTCGCCATCTCCTTTGTTCAGGGTTGAAACTTTAGCTCGGAGTGGAGTATACAGGTACAAACCCTCAGTGTGCAATGGAGGAGACAGGGAAGGCTTTTGAGAAGTCAGAGAGGAGAAAGAAAGAGAATCCAGGAGAGGAATGGATTGGTGATTGGACTGAGAGGGACATGGTGCTATAATCTCTTCTCACTTCCACTTTCTCTCCCCTCTATCAGTAAAAATAACCACTGTAATAAACATTATTTCCAGATAAGTTCTCTCTATGCAGTTAGGACTGGGCAATGGGGCTGAAAATAATTTTACACTTTGAATACACACCTTTTTCAGATACCAGTAAATATCATGATATGGTTTATGTATGAAGGGTTACATATAAAATACTCAAATTAATGTATAATGCAATGATCTGTTCTATTTTTATATGCAAAACTTTATTTTAGTTTTTAATTACAATTTTCTTGGAAACAATTTGCTTTAATTTGCTTTTTGGCTTTATTGCAGAAATACAGTCATTGGAAAAGGAAGAAGGGGTTTTGTATTGAAGAGCAGCGGACCGTGGACAATCCACCAGCCAGATCAACCTGACTGGGTACCATGGCGCAGTAATTGCTCATAGGAGAGGAAAGAGAGCTGGGATAGGAGCCATGTTGGCCCAGCTTGGACTTACGACTGTTACTAAAGGTCCTGTCTGGACAAAATGGGACTTGTGTTGTCCTAGCAATGGAAATCAGACTATTGTCCCCACATCTTTGAGAGACCTGCCCTATCAACATCCTGGATCACGCTCTCATTGGGCGAACCGTGTTCTGAGCTGTCAACGCAAGACTCCGACAAGCAGTTACCATTACGATGCAATACTTTTGTTGCAAATAGGTTGTTGCTAAGCTAAACAGTACTTGTATATGGCTAGTTTCTTACAGAACTGAATTCAACAACTTCATTCAGCAACTGAGAAGTTACTACTGAATTGATGAGTCAAAAGCATATGAATTGTTCTCATGGCTAAAGGTTGCCTTTTGTTCAATGCCCCAGTGTTCTTTGCAGATTATAAATTCACTGAACAAAATTATAAACGCAACACTTTTGTTTTTACCACCATTCTTCATGAGCTGAACTCAAAGATATAAGACTTTCTCTATGCACACAAAAGGCCTATTTCTCTCAAATATTGTGCTCATCAGACAGCATGGGTATTGCAGAGGTGTGCCTTAGGCTGGCCACAATAAAAGGCCACTCAAAAATGTGACATCATTTGCCTCATGCAGTGCAACACATCTCCTTCATATAGAGTTGATCAGGTTGTTGATTGTGGCCTGTGGAATGTCTTTAATGGCTGTGGGATGTTGCTGGATATTGGCAGGACCTGGAACACGCTGTCGTATTCGCCGGTCCAGAGCATCCCAAACATGATCTGTGTACAGATCCTTGCAACATGAGGCCGTGCATTATCATGCTACAACATAAGATGATGGTTGTGGATGAATGGCACAACAAAGGGCCTCAGGATCTCTTCACAGTATCTCTGTGCATTCAAAATGCCATCAATAAAATGCACCTGTGTTCGTTGTCCATACTGCCAAATTCTCTGATATGCCTTTGGAGACAGCTTATGATAGATTATATCTGGTGGACATTCCTGCAGTCAGCATGCAAATTGCACGCTCCCTCAAAACTTTCGACACCTGTGGCATTGTGCTGTGTGATGCAACTGCACATTTTCGAGTGGCCTTTTATTGTGGCCAGCCTAAGGCACACATGTGCAATACCCATGCTGTCTGATCAGCATCTTGATATGCCACACTTGTGAGGTGGTGAGGTGGATTGATTATCTCAGCAAAGGAGAAGTGCTCACTAACACAGATTTTGACAGATTTGTGAACAATATTTGAGAGAAATAGGCCTTTTGTGTACATAGAGAATTTTTTTTTTTTTTTAATAAACAAATGGACTCCCACTTGATCTCTAAACTCCACCTCCTAGCTATTTATTACCTTGTTTCAGTACGTGGTGTCCCAAGCCTCCCCCTTCTTTTAACTTAATAATAGTAACTTAACACTACTAAAATAAATCTCCTAGAAAGCCTTAAAATATGATGTAATCATATACAGTACATGAAGTGGAGTGGATTTGACATAATGAGACGGGAACGTCAGCTTTGTAATGTCTAGAGAGCTGGGCTGTTATTGGGCTTATGAATGACTGACTGTTATTGGTACATTATGTGCATGTTCCCTCTGCTGACCTCCACTCGTGGATGTAATTGGATTTCTGAAAGTGCCGATACACATGCATACCCAGACGTACTGTACAGGGCATATGTGAAGTTTGCGACAGCGGTGGCTTAGACAAAGGAAGACAAGGAGTGTGAAGTTATTACTGTTACTT